GGAAGATGTAGAGTTCGCCACTGTTTTCAATACAATTTCTATCTATAAATTTAGGAAGATGTAGAGTTTGCTAGAAAGTTCAGCATAAATCTAACTGAATGTAAAAAAGATTTAGAAGTGTCGAGTGTAGTGTGTTTGAAGGTAAGCGAATGCGGTCTGAGAGTGTCACTCCTCATTTTGGAAGATCAGTGTAAGAACATGGTAGCGAAAGGAAATTTGTTTTACATTTCAAGGTATTTGATTCAAAAGGTTGTATCAGCTCTGAAGTAATTATGAATTTTGCTGCTTCACCAAAAAGAAGATTTTATAAGTGAGGTATACTATCGAAGAAATTGTTTTAAAAAAACGCCAATGAAATCTTTTCGCATTTTAAACGAGGTCACTGAAATAGGTTGATCGCGAGAGAGCTTTTATAAAAACTTTTTTAGAACGTAGCCATATCATAGATTTAGTTTAAGTACTTTATATCTTAATCTTAATCAGGAACACCTTTTGGAAGGTGATATGCTTAATTCTCATATTGAAAAACGAACTCTAATATAGCTCGAGCAAGGGGCGAAAAAAAAAGAAAGTTTAGATGAGGATCGAAGGGAGCTTTGAATTGTTTCTCTCATGTTTCACACGTATGGTTCAATATTCATTTAAAGTGTGACCTCGATGGACGCTTGTTTGAAGAGAACTCTAATACCAACGCCTAAATCTTGTCCCGTTTACATTGTTTCCACAGTTCTGTTGTTGAATAATTATATATTTGGGTTCCAATTAGTTTCTTTTCAGTGGACTGTTTATCTTATCTTAGTATAGAAACTACATAGAGTTCCCATACAAAAACAGGCTTATGACGTTCATATCGGTAATTCGATCCAATGAACTCTAAATATGAGACTCAATTTAGAAAAAGAAGAAGAGCACTACGTAGTTTAGCACACTCTACTAATAAGCGCTGAATATATCGAAACCCTGCAGGCATATATCAAACGAACTCTACATCTTCCTAAATCAGAATATAGAAATAACACAGACAACAAGAGCGAACTCTACATCTTCCTAAATTTATAGATAGAAATTGTATTGAAAACAGTGGCGAACTCTACATCTTCCTAAATTTATGGATAGAAATTGTATTGAAAACAGTGGCGAACTCTACATCTTCCTAAATTTATAGATAGAAATTGTATTGAAAGCACTAGCGAGCTCTACATCTTCCCAAAAAAAGTATAGAAATAACATAGAAAACAAGAGCGAACTCTACAAATTTCAATTCTTCAAACAAATGGCTGTTAAAATTCGTTTCAGTAAAAAATATTAAATAATAAAAGTAACGATTTTAATTTTCGGAGTTTTTTTCGAAGAAATGAGTTTTAACGAATTAAAAATCGAAAATTTGACACTTTCAGTAGCTTTTAATGTGAAAAATTCAAATTAATTGAAAAATGAAATATAATTTAATTTAATTAACTTTGAATTTTCGACTGTATGTTCGCAAATGAGAGGATACCCTACGAATGTGCCGAAGAATGGATTGAAAAAAACGATGGTCGACCGAAGATTATATTAACTGCAGCACAATCGCGAATATTGTGCACTCGACTCGTGTCAACAGC